ATCATCAGCATATAGGGCTACCTCCGAATGCTTGATGACAGTGGGAAAATCATTTATGTAAATAAGAAATAACAAAGGGCCCAATATGCTGCCCTGAGGCACGCCATGCGTAACAGGTAACAAATCAGACAATTCCGGACCGCAAGATGTACGTTGCCTTTGTCCCATTAAGATATGACTCAAACCATTTAGCCGTGTCAGAAGTCACCCCAAAAGACGACAACTTTCGTAGCAAGATTGTGTGGTCGACCGTCTCAAAGGCCTTGGATAGGTCCAAGAATACGGCTCCACACAGTTTACCCCTTTCCATATTTAATAAAATTTCATCGGCAAAACTCAGTAGAAACAGCGTTAACTGTTGAATGTTTAGGCCGAAATCCGAATTCCTTTTCATTGTGTAGGCTATGTTGGTTAAGGTATTGATAAAATTGATAATGCACAGCCATCTCTAGGATTTTACTGAGAGTTGGTAAAATAGAAATAGGGTGATAATCACGGGCTAGTACGGTTCTCGGCTTTGAAAAGTGCTGTGACTTTAGCGCATTTCCGGATGTTAGGAAACTCGTTGGTTGGAATTGACAGATTTAACAATTTTGCAATTGATGGAGTTATAGTTCGAGAAGCACGTTTAAGTAAACGGGCACTGATTCTGTCTAACCCGATGGCCTTATTGCGCTTAAGGGAGTAAATCTGTTGTAAAACAAAGTAATTTGGATATATCAACAAACAAACAAAGGATTGGCTCACTGTTCTTAACTCAAATGAAACCGTCGCTGATTCAACAACATTGAGTGTCGCAAGATTTACACAATTAGGAGATTGAGAGAATTTTTCTGCGAACAATCTTCCAACAGAAGAAAAGTAATCATTCAGGGCTGTAGCAATAGATTTGGGGTCGTTATATTGTACTCGACTTGCAATTATACACTGCGTGTTATGGATGAGCTACTGACGTTGCATGAGGAAGCTTCATTCACTGCTTTCCAAACTATGCTGGAATCGCCTTTACTTTCTACAATTAGGTTGCAATAGTAATTTGACTTCGAGGACTTAATTTCACGATTCACAAAATTTCGCAGCTTTCTATACATTCCACAGTGGTATGTAGAGTTGAATTTCTGTGTTTTCCGAAGATGATAATTGCGATCGCGCATCGCTTCAGCGATTTTATTATTCATCCAAAGAGCTGTCGTGCCATTTACTCGGCGCTTTTTAAGCAGTGCATGAGAATCCGCAACTTCGGTAAATAATCTGTTCCAAGTCAAGACTGAGTCGCTGACATTGCTTTTATCGTCGACAATGTGGCACGGAACATTTTTTCAGTGCTGGATGAAGGCATTTTAATCAAATCCTTTGAATGAATCATATTCTATTGTCCTCGGTGTGGCCTTTGAGACACCACTGAGCTTTTAGCACACAATGAATTAGTGAATGATCGCTTATTGATAGAGACACAACGCCGCTATCAACGATTCGGTCCTGATTATTAACCAGGATCACATCTATTTACGATATGGACTGTTCTGTGATGCGAGTTGGCTTGGTTATAATTTGAGACAAGTCCAAAGAACGCACATGTAAAGTTATGCAGAATCTGCATATTTTGCTTGCATCCACTGAAACAGGCTTCAGCAAGAGGTCAACATTCATGTCCCCCAGAATAATTAGATCACTCAAAGTTCAAAGGAGACGGTTTGTACATGTACATTAAAAGCTATGAAAGTCGGATGCAAGAACGCACAAATCTTTTATCGGTTGTACGTTTGTTTACTATTTGTGTTGTTGTTGTTGTTTTTTACTCTTTGAAGCTTTTCCTGTTTTCTTGACATTGAAATTCATAGGTTATAAATAATAAAAAGTATATAAATTGTTATTTATAATTTATTTAATTTTAGAATTCTTTGAAAATGTGTTTTTATTCAAAATATAGATGAGAGCAGAGAGTGTAAGTTTTAATTTTCCTTACGATCGAAGCTCAGTTCTTTTAGCAGCCCGCGATCAGAACGGTTAGCGACCTCACACAGAAGTCAAGCAAACCTGTCATCGACTTTTGACCTCGTCCCATTGTTTTTTTCCTTATTATTGTAGCAGTCTGTCTGATTGGCTACTGGCTTGTTGAAAAAGGCCACCACCCTCTTTCAGCCTCTCTGTTCGCGCAGTTTGTGACCAGGAACACAACGCTTTCAACCAAAATCACCGATCATCGATCTTTTAGGGTAAGTATGCGATGGTATTTCTTTATTTCGGGGTATGACTTCATTAAATGAAGTTGACACAATTGAGAAGAACTGCCCTTGGTGCTCAGTCATGTGCAACCTTTTTTTAAGGGATCCGGCGCTAATGATACCGGAGAGTCGCTGTTACACTTTTCAAATGCTCACACGAGGGGAAGATGATTGTTACAACGTTTTAAACCAGAGAAGAAGTCGTAGAAAAATTAATCCTCTGTAGGAAGGGGTATATCAGTGAAGATCAATTACTTATTCATCGATTCTGAGAAAGGCAGAGTTTTAGGAGTTTCATCAAATGATAGTGTATGAAGCAGTTCTTTCATAAAATCTTTAGGCAAAATTATTTATTCTTAGTGTTACCGCGCTTTAACAATTTTTAAGTGTGCTTTGGCAACTGTAGTCTCATAAAGTCCTGCAATGTCACCAGGTCCAACCTTACCATCACTGAGGAGAATTTTTGTTCAACCAAATCTATTTGCTGGCACCTTGAAATTATCTGTATGGTTTCTTTTCTGACCGCACGGTCGTCCACAACGTTGATTAAAAACAATGCTTATGCAAATGTTATGGGTGGGAACAAAGAAAACTGTGGTAATGGAATCACGATTCGAAGTCTCGTGAATCACCTGTTTGTTGTTCCAACCCACGCAAAAAAAAGTTCTTGAGTGTAACATCACTAAATGCATAATGCACGTATTCGACTTCGACAATTCGATGGTTTACAGCAATTAAAAGAGATCTTCCTCATAATTCTTGAAGGCAGTTATATCATCAGTTATGGAGAGTGAGTGAAAATAAGTATTTCGAAATCCCTAGAATGCTAAGTCATGCATGAACTTTCTATGGAACTTTCTGAAACCTTTTGGTAGATTTTGTTGTTTTGTTCCGGAACACTTTGTAAATGTAAATAAGGACGTGTAGTAGTTGTTAATGGCTGTTGTTGGGAGTGACCGACTTTTTGGCCCATCCTCGGTGTAAAAACCTGTGAAGCTCACGAGTGACGTAAAACAAAGACAACAAAACATTATAAACGATAGCGCACAGCAAAACAATACGTCATGAAACAAAGAAAACCTCATCAGGCTTTTACACCGAGGATGACCCGACTTTTTGGGCTGTACCAGAAGATAGAACTGTTGTGGGAGATTGTTGATTTCAAGAAACTTTGAAGAAAACTGCGAGTTTGTGCCGTGGTGAAGTAAGATATAGTTAAAGGGCTTATGAACTGTCGACTGGCGTCGCTCCTAAGTAAGAACATTACAAGTCGTGGTGAAAGGAACAAATGTTGGTCGACCGCAGGCGGCCGAAGCTCCAGCTGTGAGATGATCGTCTTGCGCAATAACAGTCATGGCGGAACTACGAGAGTTTGTACGGGAATATTTACGACTGCTCTAAGGAATGAAAAAATACGTCGAATTCTCAGTAAAAATATTCCTCACCTTACTTCTGTTGCACGTTCACATGTAACTCAGAACAAATTAGCATACATAGCTTAGTGCACGTGCATTTGCAATGTGCAGAAATGGGCATATCCAGCTTGTTACTTAAGACTTTGACATTTCGCAATTAAAGGAAACTTTATCGAGAGCACCACGCTATCAAAACTTCCACAGTGTATCGCTTGTTAACTGACCGCTTATTTCAATGAGAAGAACCCAACGTACGTTGTAAACCTCTAAATGGACAGCTCGCTAAAATGGGTTCTTTTCATCAAAGTAAACGGTCAGATAACAAGTGATACACTGTGGAAGTAAGGTGAGGTATTTCTTTTGAGAATTTGACGTATTTTTTTATTCCTTAGAGCGGTCGTAAATATTCCTATACAAACTCTTATAAATCCGCCATGATTGTTATTGCGCAAGATGATCGTCTCACAGCTGTACGCTTTCTGCCTTTCGCTTTCGTTTCCATTGGCATTCCAGGTCCGTCCTGCTAAGGTTATGGATGCCATAAATAAATATGGCTGCCGCGTGACTGCACTTGAACTCGCCGCGAGGACACTCGCATTCTGTGTTTTTTATTTCAAGGTTTTCATCGAGATAAATCTGATAAAAAGATAATTCGAAACAGACACGTAAGTTGCAATATATATTCCGCAATATAAACATTAAATTGGAGGTGAAATCGGGGTTGGGAGTTCTTCGAATTGAACATACGTGTTGTGATCCCAAATTGGCAACTTACTGTGACTTTGTAGTCCTTATTTTTCATGCTTGCTTGGACTTCACCTTTGATGACTCCCCTGGAATAAATAAAGCTTTGAACATGGTCGGATTTGAAGTGGTTTTCTCCGCGATCAAGCGATTTCCGCTCTCCAGAAAAGAAAGAAACGAGTGAGCATATCGATAAAGACGCCATGTTTGAAGTATGAGTTTAAACTGTTTAGACCAGAAAAAAATGCTGTCATGGCAACGTGACGTCACACTTTAGGACTCTATTCACAATCAATATTGACTGTGCG